AATATAATAAATATAATAAATATAAAAACGTAATATAACTACGTCAGTTTTAAGTAAATAAATTTTATATAAAAAAAAAGATAATTGTGTGCAATGTATTTTTTTCTGAAAATCATATCCTCCTCGAGTTTCCGGTGGTCCTGGATCTTGTGCTGATATAATTGCGGCACAACAGTATGCAGAAAATATGTAAAATGATATTTTACAAGAATATGTGGTAGTAAATAATTAATAACAAAATTGTATATACATATATTATTGCACAAATTGTTTCTATTTTTATAATGTCCGATAATAAAAATAAAAAATAATTCAGTGGGTATTTTTTGCATTATTTCTTTTTATAAAAAGACACATTTAAAAAAATTAAAAAATTATATATGTACAGTACAATATAAAACAATAAGTTAGAAGTAAATATAAATTGTTGGTCATATTTTGAGTTGTCACTTTTAATGAATTATCCATATTTATTACAATTTTGTAGGATATCAAAATTATTAATTCATAAAGAATAATTTTTTAAGCGATGAAATAAAAATGACAAAAATAATAATATTTGATCATGTTTTTAAATATATTTTTTATATTCGATATTATTTGATTAGCCAATAACTTTTTGTTAAAAAATAGCTTTTTCCTTTTAAAAAAATATTTTTTCTTTTGTAATTTAAATTAAATAATTTTATATTAAAAAAGTACATTTAATTTAATAATAAATAATGTTTTTTTAAAATTAACATTTAATTTAACCTACGTTAATTTAGTTTTAATTTAACTTTTAATTAATTATAAGTATTTTGTTCATGCAACTTATTCTAACGTAGCTCAGGAAAAAATCCATATAATACTATAACAAAGCTCGGCACCATTTGCTCTATTCGGCCGATATTCGACTCGGCTCCGCCTTCCTCTTCTCATCTCATTACTCTGCGCGCGTCCAAATGCCGCCCAACGCTTAGGAGCGTATAACGCTCGTAGACATGAAGTCCACCCACTTTGGGCGCTCACGCTGTAAATTTTATTCTATTTTTTTTCCTTCATTGCATAACTAAGATAGAATAAGGTAAAATTGAGCGCTTACGCATTGCTTCATTCTATCTTAGTTGTAATGAAAAAAATAGATAATAATGAAAAAAATTTATAGAATGAAGTTTACATTGTGAGTGGGCCTCATGTCTACGAGCACTATACGCTCCTAAGTATTGGGCGGCATTTGGACTGCGCGTGGGATGATGAGATGAGAAGAGTAGTAGAAGGCGGAGCTGAGTCGAAAATCGGCCTAGAAGCAAATGATGTCGTGTTAATATACTACATATATATATGTATACGAATATATATAAAATTATACATAATTATATGTAATTAATTTTCTCATATTGTTATATACAATAATATATGACATATTTACAAGATTGTACAAATTTGTTAACATTAGGTCTGTTTTTTATTTTTGCACTAGACTACACAAGACTTTCTCGCTTCCGCCAAATATCAAACATGTACCTATCTTACTTTAAGTTTCAAAAGTGTATATATTTTAAAAGTATATATTATACAATTTAATATTTTAGGTAAAATGCACAAATTTAAATATTAATCCCCTCAGATCTGATTTTATTAGAATCATATTAAAAAAATTTTTTAATACAATTTAGCACACTTTCAATAAGTCATTTATACTAAATAATTAATTTTTTTTTAATTTTGATTATTTTTCTAATATATACATTATTGTGTGTATGAAATACCAGATGATGTTGATAGAATAACTTCAATAGATAATATCATCAAATTTAATATACATTACAATGTATGTAAGATCTGAAAGGATTAAATAAAACGTATAAAGACGAATTTTTTTATACAGTATACACACTTATGAAATATACATAGATTACTATGGAATTATTCATGTAGATCATTATTCGCAATATATAAGATATGTAGCGCAATATTAATATACTATAATACTAAAGAATTAAGGTAATTAAAAATTTAAATTATGAAAGACTGAATAATACTGAATAATATTAAAATATAACACTAAATTGTGATATTAAAAATATATACAATATATACAAAAAAAGACAATGTAAAAATAAAATATTATATAATTTAATTATTTTGATTCAAGAAGAAAATCGAGAAATATACGATATAATCTAACATTCTTTTTATCTTTTTCCCACATTTTTAATCGATTTCCATCTATCAATTCTTCTATTAAACTTTGTACATTGCAGTGCTTAATTTCTTTTCATCAGTAATAGTTTAAAGATTTTAACAATAAAAATCTAAATAAAGTCATGAAATTAAATTTAATTATACTTATTAATTATGTGACTCTGTCTATTATCACACTTATTATGAGAGTGACAATTGTAGAACTTCATTTCCATTATAATCAAATTAAAGTGTCGAATTCGCCTCAACTTATTTTCGACAGACAGATAGATTCTTTGTACAGTAGGGAAATTCTGATGTAATAGAAACACAATAGTCTCCCTCTATGGCATAATTACGGTCGAATATCCTATGATCCACGACAATGCAATCAGTTTCGTCGGAAGAACAACCGGGCAGAATACTGCAAGAATGCCCAGTCATGATAAAAAAGTACAGTAATCGCAAGATAAGAAACAAAAACAAGAAAAGATTTTTTTATATATACATACTTGAGAAACGGGATTGTTCTGGGTCTGAAAAAAAATAAAAATAAATACTATACATATAATTATAATAATTAATGTAGCTTTCATTTAATAAAAGTGTTTAATTTTATGATAAAGTTTTTAAACCTAAAAAATTTACAAAAGTTGGATTGATCTAAGTTTAAACATATTGTTAATAATAAAAGCGAACTTACGATATAGAAACAGCAACACCAGTATATTTACAATCATGAAGCAACGTATTACATAAATACGCGATGGCTATATTATGCGAACAATTGAGGTTTATAGTACCGAAGAACCAGCCTAAAATAAAAATTTATTTCATTTATCATTTCTTTCTGTTAACTGTTGTTTTTATAACGTTTTCCCTAATTAATTTATTTTTAAGTTAAATATAATAATTACCACCACATGCTGGTTGGCTTAATCCGTTATTGAACCACAAATCGAGATGACCTATAGACTTTTGTATTCCGGCAGCCGACGTATGAAAAACTACTACACGTTCCGCATCCTTCTTGCAAAGTCTGCCCTCGCAATTACTAAACATAAATAAGGGATATGCGGGATCGGTAGTGATGAGAAGCGGAATTTTGCCGTAACCTGATTTCTGGAGATCCTTCGCGGCGAAGGCACTTACATGCGCACCGAGGCTATGACCCATAAATGTAATGTTTTTCAACGGAACATCGCACGTATCAATCAATGATTTGACGTAGCTAAAAGAAAAATTTTATGTAGATATATTTATTATATGTAGATATATTATGTAGATATATTATGATAGAAATATTTTATGTATATGTATATACAGGGAGGGGCATTTAAAACAGGTCACCTGAATAATTCGCTTGTTTTTAATAATTAGAAGAAAAGACACGAAATTATTCGAAGAGTGCCTTAAAACAATTTATTTTTCATTACATTCAATTATTTTCCATTATCGATCTTGCATAACTTTGAATGACCTTCAATTATAAGTCATTGTATTCGTCTTAAAATGGTCTATTAGAATGTAAATAAAAAAACATATTATTCCATTTAAAAAAACAGATTTGATCTTTGCCTATCCTTTACACCTCCACCTACAAAACAATTATTGACATTACATTATGTGCTCTTCAAAAGCAATTTTTGTTTGACACTTTTTCTTCTACTGTTAAAAACAAGCGAGTTTTTCAGGACTTGTTTTAAATGCCCTTTCCTATATATGCAAGGTATTCCAGATCTCTTTTATCTTCACAGAATAAGGTCCATTTAAAAATATGTTCAGATAATAATTTTACAGTTTAAAAAGCTCTATTCTCGTCTTATCAGTTTAACTTTGGATGACGTTGCTAAGCTCAAGTCAAGGTCATATCGATTTTTTAAATCCCCACTTTTTGTTACATATTCTAGTTTATCTTGAGAGTTTTTCAAAAAACACTATAACAAAATATTTTCTCATGAATACTTTTTAAGTTATAAGACTTGAAAGTTATAGTACTGCATTATCTAATCTGTTCGATTGATAAAACCTTTTAAATTTAGGATTATAATCTTGACATCACATTTACTTTAATTTTTATAATAAAAATGAAAATAAAAGGAACAACCTCCAAAGTCTTAATCTTGATATATATGGTGTCAAGATCATAACCCTGAAAAATATTTAAAAGGTTTTGACTATCAATCGAACATCTTAGATAATGCTAATGCCAACAATGCTGTAACTTTCAAGCCTTATAACTCGAAAAGTATTTAATGAATAAATATTTAATGAATAAATATTATTATAGTTTTAAAAAGTTGTCAAGATAAGTTACAAGAATATGCAATAAGAATGAAGGTTTCCATTTAAAAAAAATCGATATGATCTTGACCTGATCTTGGCGATGCCTTCCAAAGTCAAACTGATAAGACTAGTAAAAAGATCTTTTTATACCGTGAACTATTGCCTGAACATTTTTTTGATTGGACCTTATCCTGTGAAAATAAAAGGTGATTAGGGACACCCTGTGTAATATATAAAGCTAAATTTTTGATAGACGCTATATTTATTTTGTACTGTATTTTGCATTGATTATTGGAGTATTACTTAATTTTATTACAATACAGTTATTAACAACAACTAAAATTTATTTATTTAAATTGTAATTAAAATTAATTGAATTTCAATTTATATTTTTATTATTATATATTATATTTTGTTTTAATTTAACGAAATATTGTGAAATAGCTATACCTCGCCAAATAGGTACCAACTTCAGGAGTGTTACGTACTGCAAGAGGATACTCTAGTAGATTCATAGTGGCTGTTACACGATTATAGCATGCTGCGTTAGACCAATCTAATGAAAACACTGTATAATCCTTCTACACATATAAAAAAAAAGTTATTTTATTTATTTTTTTATTGTGGATACTTTTTTTTCTTAATTACTTATATAATGTGATATAACATTTTCAAATTTCGATATACAAATAAGATTTACAAATCATATTAAAAAATTCTAAGTTTTAATTTTATTATTAAGTATAAAAATGTTTTATACCTTGGACAATAGAGAGGCAAAATTAGGAAAATTATAATTGAGTGAATTGGCAAGAAAACCATGAGTCATGAAGAAAACTGGTTTCGAGGGATCGATAAGATTACAAGATTCGTTTACTTGAACAATTTTGCCATTAGGAATATTACTGCAAAAAAATGCAAACGTAAAAGCGGTGCAAAAAATAAATTTACAACTACATGTTAGTACATTACTCAACATGTGTGCGGTTTACCTCGTGTACAGAACAGTCGAGACCGATTTAACACCAAAAATACAGGAAATTGCCAGATTGAATATAAAATTGTCTGTAAAAAAGTTTTATTAAAAATGTCTATTTCGTTTGCGACATATAAATACATATAGGATATCCCGCAAAATATTACAGCAAGAAGTCCAGCAAATACAAAGTTACATGTAACGTACCCGTTAGTTGTAATTTGAGTGAAAAATTATAATTAACGGGTACGTTTAATGTTGTACGTATTAATGTTGAGAATAATCCGATTATAAGAAGCACAATATTTTGCTAAATATCTCTATATAAAATTTGATATTACAATATTGTTGATAACTGTAAATTATTGACAAATGTGCAGAAAATGTAGTCATATTAAATTTATGGTTTATATGTACAGTTATGTGTAACTACATACGCTCAATTTTGTTTCTCTCTAATATAAGGAAATTAAATAAGTATAGCGCTAATAAACCTTTTTTTTTAAATATTCATCTTTAATATTATTATGTATATAACTATTTGTGAAATAGAAAAGAAATGAAATGAATTGAAAAGAAATGATGATCAAGATTTTAAGACTTTAAAAGCGAAATTGTGGGGTTTTAGAAAATGTTTAAGGTAGAAAATGTTACTTAAAACTCGAGACACATAATTCACGTAATGCTCATTATTATTAGAAATTTGTAATTGTTATGGAATTTTGAAGGATTATCAAACAGTTTTAAATTTTAAGTATGATTTTAAGAAATATCTGCTAATAAAAGATTCTGACCTAAAAACGGTTTTTATGATAAATTTAACGATTTTTTTTTATTAACGAAAAGCTATTAAACATTTTTACTCGAGATGCATTACTATTACAATAGATGCAACGAAAAGTTTTCGAGAAAATTTAAGATTTTTCATTTATTTATTTAAATCTAAACTATATATCTTAGGAATTTTTGAAAGTCAAACTTAATATTCTCAAGTTATTAACCGCTACATTCTGTTTAATAATGATAGAAGTAATTAGAGAACTTCTATTAATCCGAAACGAATTAACAAAATTTTTATTATTTCTACTTGAACATCATCATTTATACTAGAAAAAGAAAGTTATATTAAGACTATAGCATTAAATTGTAAACATTAAAGTTCTAATCTTTTAACAGTTTTATTCTTTTTTTTTAGTAAAAATATTGTTTAAATATCGATTTAATTCTAATACGGACGATAGTAATATTTATATCAATTAAAAGATAAAATATCAGATAAAATATAACGGAAAGAATTTTTAAAAAATAATAGATTATCATAAAACTTGATATTAGAAAGTTTTTAATTGCGAAGTAATATTATAAATGTTCAGTTTCGTTTTATTTGAAGTTTACCAGTGCTATGTAAATGATTAGTATTAATTTCTAAATTTTTTTAAACTCTGATTATAAGCCTTGTGACATTTTCCTTTATATTAATTATTACCTTTTTGAAATTCAATTTCAAATTTTCAGACTACATTCAAACTCAAAGATATCAAGAATTTTCTAAAACTGAATTCACAATAATTAGATCATTTTTTTAAATTTAAATTTTAGAATTTTGGCTAGAATCTAATTCAGCAATTTCGAAAAACCTTTATAGAAAAACAAGATCCTTTCATAAGTTATATTAGGATGTTTTATAAGTTATGTTCAAGTTCTGAAATGGATAGTTATTACAATAGATGCAACGAAAAGTTTTCGAGTATTTACACGTTCAAAACAATGTCACGTGGCGTCCGTCAAATGTGGAAAAAACCTCCAACGCTAGTTTGTGCAATCGGTCGAAAACTTTCTGTTGCGTTTAATATTTTTATTCTATAACATTTTTATAAAAATATTCTACTATTTATAAAATACTTCTATTTATAAAATATTTTTAATACCAAAACATGATATGGCGCATCGTTTATTATTGATATGTATAATTTTTAATTCTACCATCAGATTCCTTACCTCAGAAATTAGGTACGGTGTTAAAAATTTAATTTTCAGTTTTCAAAAATTATTTTTCCTTATATTAAACAAAAATTGTTTATAAAATCAATTGAAATTTTAGAATGTTTTTAGAAAAATCGAATTCTAAGCATTTTTCTTTAATTTAAAAAAAAACTAGCTTCGCAGAGAATATCGATATTTTTTCAATGAAAACACGGATGATATTGTTTATTTGTTACAATAATGACATAATTAAAAAAATTGACATTTTGTAGTTATCTGCAGATTAAGAACAAAAATATGAAAAAAAGAAAAATTTACTTTAAAAGAATATAATTTTATTTCTTTATTTATGATGAGTTATATACCATTTCAAAATTAATATTACAAAATTTTAACGATTTAAAACATTGGAATTTATTTTCAGAAACTCTATATTTCTTGAGCTATGTCATTGTTGCAGCATAAAAATGTACGATATTTCTTAAAAATATTTCTTAAAGATTGATTTAAAAATCATATTAACCGTTATTCACTGAAGGCTCCACATTAGAATCCGTTATCTGTAAAAAAAGGTCCGTAAAAATAGACAAATTGTATTCTCAAATGTTCATACATTAGTTAAAATTAATCTTAGATGCGTCTAGGATTAAAACGGTTAGTATTTTTTTGCAGTCTAAATTATTTTTCACAAACGAGCAATTAAGCATTTTACTCTACATTATTTAATCAATACGTCTAACATAAAAATTAAAGAATTTTTACTAAATTGTTTTTAATGTATTTACTACCCAAAACTTTTAAAGGGAATTGTCACTCTAAAAAGTGAAATTTCACGTTTAAAGATTGAAAATTGAGCCATTGCATCTTTTGTAAGACTGACCTAATTTTCATTTTTACAGTGAGATTCCACTTACACAATTTAAAGAGTATAAGTGAAAAATTGGAACATTGGAAAGAGAATAAGGATAATATTCAATTCTAATATTCAATTTCAAAAGTGGAAAAACATATGCTTACCGCATTATGATCACTCGGGGCTGCTATTGTACCGAAAAAATTGTAGAGTTGTATAAAAAATGATGCAATTACCAATCGCATCATTGCCGAAGAGATAAAAAAAAATGGTAAGAAAAACCTTTTTCAAGTTATCTTTAAAACATAGTTTTGATGTAAAATGAAAATAGTAACAAAAAGTACACAGTTTGGTTCACAAAACGCACAAAGCTCTCTATTCAACGACTTCTTTTTTGTTAACTGACAAGGAAATAAGCAAGAAAGAGACCAGATATGTCGTAGTATTATCAGTTATGTAGCATTTCATGCGAAATTACATATAAACTACATAATTTTTGCATTTACGATATAGAATAATCGGAAATATAATAGCGCAAGTGGCACGTATATAGGGTGTTTTATTTAATCGATATACTCCAAAATAATGAAAATGGCTAGATTTATAAAAAAAAGTTTAGGAAAAATGTATGATCTAAAAGGAGACAAATAATATGGTAAAATTAATTTTCGCAATACTCGATTTTTCAAAATCACATAAAAGTCATTGCCATTAAAAAAAACAGAATTGTGTGATCTTTTTACATGATGTAAGTCTTCCATTTATTCAGTATATAAAAATATTAGTGTTATAAAAAAAATTAATAATTTACGAGCTATATATTTAATATCTATTTATTTTTTAATACATTTTAATGTAATATAAAATGTTTTGACTAGAAAAAACTATTAATTTTTTATAATTATACTTTAATACTTTTATATGCAGAATAACTAGAAGAATCTTTGTAAAAACAATTTTGAACATTAATTTTCGAAAGTTGATTTTACTATTATTTATATCTCTCCTGGCCGTATAACTTTTCTGAACACTGTTTTTTAATTTAATCTTTTTCATGTTATTTCAATGTATGTATATTTCAATAAAATGGAACACTCTATATATACACGTTGAAGAAACGTAAGTCGTTTTACAAAATTTACGTAATAAAGTCGTAAAAATATAAACACACCAACTCTATCTTTCATGTTTTATGTATATATTCGTATATGTAAAGAACTACATACCAAATGCACTTTGAGATAGTTTGAAACATTCAAAAAATATCGAACGGTTTACGAAGTTGTTATTGTTATAATTATGTAAAAAACATGTCTGCACTATCAACTTGAAGATAAGAGAGCTGACTATTTTTTAAATAATAGTACAATTTATGATAATGTACACGTATTGATGACTACGTTGAATTTTATGTGGTATAGTTAATTAACGATATTAGTTGAGGATTAATATGATAATAACAATTTTTAAGGGTACTTATTGAAATCTTAAACATTCTTTGAAAATGTCTGGATTTTTTAGATAGTCATTTCAAAATTCCAAGTAAGAAATTAGTTTTTAACTCAACTTTCAAATAAGTTAGAGTGAAAGCAGCGCAAATAAACTATATATTGAAAATTAATAGAAAACAGGAATTTTGCAAGACTATATTTATCATTTTTTACAATCATAGCTGCGAAATCTATGTTTAATACAGTATAGGAAAGACTCATTGCAATATATATGTATAATATATATGTATAATGAGTTATTCTGTTCTAGTCTATAACGGTCAAAGCTAGATCTTTTCAATGTCTAAATAATTCATAGTGAATTATCTATATCCTATATATGTACATGCATATATACTATATTTTTGTAGTTATTCAAACTGTGCGCTAAAATTTTTCCGGACTTTATCCAACGCAATTAAACTACTGCAATAATATTACAAGTTAAATTAAATTGACAAGCAAATTCTCAATCTTCCATTCGATATCATATTATAATTGATTATTGCGAAGAATATTATTAAGGTTTCAGTGGTCTAATGGCTTAAGATGTTCGTACAGAATACAAGAGATTCGGAGTCAAGATAATCCCGGCCGAGATAATATTTTTCGCAATAAATTTATTTAAGGTTTTCAGCATATTAACACTCTTATAATATGATATCGGTTCGAAAATTGAGAATTTGCTTGTCAGTTTAATTACGTTTGATAAAGTTCGGAATAATTTCGGCGCCCAATTTGAATAACTACAAAAATGTGGTATATATGCATATACATATATAGACAACTCACTATGAATTATTTGGGCATTGAGAAGATCTAATTTTGACCGTTATAGGCTTGAATATACTTATATTTAGTATTTAATTTGATGTCGATCTTAATAAAATCTTATTATTGTTTATCCCATTCTGCTGAGTAGTATTTTCTACTGTCATTCATTTTTAAAATAAAAACTCGTAAGAGAACATACACAAATATACGCGGATTGGTATATTATACTTATTATTACTAATCGATTTTTAATACACTGGAATCTTGTTATAATGGACCTTAAAATAGCGCGAAAAATCCTTTCCGAACAGCATGGAAAGTAGCAGGAATCTTGAATTTTATTGTTTTATTAAAATAGAAGTAACCTCGTTGTAGTGTTCAGACTCCCAAACCGCGAGCTATTATGAGATTTCAGTATGTATTGTATTATATTCATAAAAAATGATTAACAATATTTTTAGAAATGAAAGGAATTTGAATTTAAAAGTAAAATTCAAAAATTTTTTTTGTCTTGATAAAATGGTATGGCATATCCGTAATATTTAAAAATCAAAAAGCGTTGTAGAAACTGGGAAGTAAAAGATTGGATTTGGAAGGGGAAAAACTTAAGTGTTCAATGTACTTTCCTCTACGTAGCACTGTCAGTTGATATGAAGAAGCCATAGTGATTGTATCTTTTCTATGAAAAATCCTACAATTTCACTTGAAAAATATACTGGTACAAGAATGCTTTGACACATTTTTTAAGTTAAAATACACACCGTTAATATAAATGTATACCTATTCATACGTTTAGTTCTCTTATTTTTATCTCTGTATTAAATTTAATTAATAATATTTTGAAAAAAAGTATTTTTCGTGATTTTTCAAAAAATTCACTTTTGTTTATTGTTAAATATTTTTTGCAATTTACAGTTTTCAGCAATTCTACTTATATGGATTTTCTTTTAGATCCTTCAAAATAAAAATTTTACATAATTAATATTATTTTAATTATTATGTATTTTTCCGAAAATTAAGAATACTTGAACATCGACAAGGTACGCTATACTTCTGTGCAGTAACGACGGTACTGAAACTATGTGCGGTAACTAATGATCAATAATCTACGAGTATAGGTATGACGTATTTAATCGAACAGTCATATAATAGTGCTAAATCTAACTCTGTTTTACATTTAAAAATAACATGGGTCAGTAAATTAATTGAGAAATATAGGATAACGGATAATAAAATATGGGCTAGTTCTTTTAATTTTTTTGTATCCTTTATCTAATTTCTATACATTGCTTTATTTCATTTTAACAATGAAAATAATATAAAACAGTGTTAGACTTCTTTGTCCATATTTTTATCTATTAATGACTTTTATTAAACTTTATAGATTGCAGTGTTTTATTTTTTTCATCGACAAAGATTTTAACAATACAGATTTATGCAAGACAAAGATACTAATCATATAAGTTAATTTAATTTTACTTATTATAAGATTGACAATTACAGAACTTAATCTCTATTGAAATTACAATGAAATTAAAGTGTCAAATATGCTGGTGACTTGTTTTTGACATTCAAATTCATCTTTCTTTATACAGAAAGGATATTCTGATGTGACAGAAACACAATAATCTCCCTCTATGGTAGTGTTATAGAATATCTTGTTGTCCACATTAATGCAGTTGGTACTGTCAGAACAACCAGGCATGATACTGAAATAATATCAACAATTGTAATAACTAATATAATAGTCGTAAAATATACACTCGAAGAGTACTTATACAAATAAATAATTCTAAATAAAAATTCATTTACTTATTTATACATACTTAGGAACACCAATTCTAGGGCTGAAAAAGAATAAGAATAAATAATGTACATTTGATTTTAATAATGCAGCCTTTGACTTTTATTTAATATATATCTTACAAATATTTTTAATTTGATATTTTAAGGCTTCTAACCCAGAAAATTCACAAAAATTAGATTGATTAAGGAGTGATACAGTGTACTCTTGTCAAGAATTTTTATCTTCTTTAACATTATGTATCTACATTAAAAATAAATTATAACATGTCCTAGCGTTTTATCAAATGAATTTTGTAAATAATATTTTTTAAAAAACCCTTTAATAATTATGTGAAAAATTGGATTTCGGTTAAATAAATTTACATATAATTTAGTTTATAATGTAGCGAATAAAAGATATTATAAACAAAAGGATCAATAATAAATAGTTTTTGAGTCATGGTATGCCAAATGTGTAAAACTTGTATTTATACACAGAGCATTTTTGATATAACATAGCTCAAAAGTTCTCGATTTGAGTCTTGTATTTATGATTTCTTTAATCACATTATAGCTATATTATATATGAAAACCAATTTATTTTACTAGGATTTATATAATACGTTCGAGGTTCTTTATTCATAGATTATTAAAAAATATATCATTTACAAGGTCTATGTATCAAAACGCTCGGACATGACACAATTTATTTTTATATAAATGTATATATATATAGATTTAATATGTTAAAAACGATTAAAATCCATAAGAAATTCATTATGTCCTCTATTTGTAAAATCAAACATGTTCTTAGTAAAACAAACTTACTATGTAGGAACACCAAGAAATGCACAATCATCTGACCACATACTAGCCAGATACATGATGCATACATTATGAGAGCAATTGAGTTTCAGAGTACCGATTATCTGGCCTGTAAAACAAAAATTTTTACATTGTTCATAATTAATTTCTGTTAGCTATTGTTTTTGCGACATTTTCCTGTATTAAATAATTTGTTTTCAAGTTAAATATAATAATTACCACCACATGCTGGTTGGCTTAATCCACCATTGAACCACAAATCGAGATGACCTAGAGATTTCTGTAATCCGAGATCAGATGTGTGAAGAGCTATGACACGTTCGGCGTCCATTTTACAAAATCTATTTTCACAACCATTAAGCATGAAAAGAGGA